ACCTGTTGGTAGAGACAAAGTCCTGATTCCAACGGGGCCTTTGTCTCTACCTGTTGCTAGAGACCAAAACTGGAGCCCCGTCTGTTGTTTTGACCCCCCCCTTTACAACAACCACCCAGCCTACACAGCATGTCGATCATGGGGCTGATGCTGTGTAAACCATGGCTTTGCATTCCCCAAAACTCCACAGGCACCTTATGCGGTCGCCGGAAGGATTCCCAATTCTTTCTAATTAACATAAGTTACAGGCTGCTGTTTTTGTCTGTACCAAACAACAACAACAACAATTACAATTATTTGCAATTTGCAATTGGACGCGGTGCGAGCGTACTCTGCACGTGGCGGGCATTTGCCGCGTTGGCACTCTCTACTCTAGGACTGTTCAGACAGTGAGACCTAAGTATCAAGACCGCATGACGTGACGAAAAGAGGAGTAAAGAAAGGGGTTACAGACGCATAGCCGCTCATATGTACAAATGCTACGATGCCACTCATTGTATGTACAGCAGTTTGCAGCTCACCTGTTCACTCCGTACCTATGGCAGAGTGACATGTGGTCGATGGACGACCCGCTGTGGCTCGCTGGCCACTTGGGCAAAGCCGAATGCTAACGCGTTGTCCAGTGCAGCTTTGCAGGCCGTCGTGCGCAAGTAAGGAAGAAAGCTGCCCTCGGCGGCTAAAAGTATTTGGCCGAGCCACCGGATTGGCAAAGAGACGGCCCAAGGCCCCGCTGTCCTAGCTAAAGGAGACTACCGGTTCCATCGCCAGGAGCTCGACGAGGAAGACCAGTCCGTAGAGCGCCACCACGAGCTGTCGTCCCATTGCTGGCGGGTGCTGGCATGATCATCTTTCTGCCTCTTGTCCGAGACAGGGCCTTGGTCCTCGGACTGGCGCTTGTCAACAAGCTTGGGGCGTAGCAGCTTCAGCTTTGCCGGAGTGTCCCCGACCAGGTGATCGATGCGCATCTTCCGAACTTGCTCTCCATCCTTCTGCATATAGATGATGAGCCGATTGATAAGTCCGCACGATCTACATGTTTGATCGTAGATTGCCTTGATGGTTGAGGCCACAATCTCGAAGTTGTCATCAGTTTCCAAGGTTTCGTGCATCTCTGGCTGGTCCCATAGCTTTTTGAACAAAGCGGCGATGATGCCGAAGTATGACGTAATCTTCGGGAGCACGCGATAGTCGGAGCCCTCGCCTAGGGCAATTGTAAGGAGGCCGTCTGTTCCCATGACAGGGCGAGCTGTCATGGCCTCTGCCCAGGTGGTGTTCATGATCGTCCTGCACAAGTTCAGCGGGGCATTGAGAATGCGAATCCTGTCCTGCCAGACTTTTAGCTGCTCGGACACCTTCAGGCCACCAATGACTGCTTTCTCGTTAATGACAAGGATGGTGGCCAGGGCGTGGACCCAGGTGAACATCTCGTCCGACTGACAGATTTGGATGATCTTGTCCCGCTTTGGTAGTGCGTTTTCCTGGTCCTCAAATGATGGCCCTGGGTTGGGGTCGATCATCGCGTGAATAGTGACCGGGCCCTGGTACTTAACCTCGGCCATGTTGTCGACTTCCACAGGCTGTTCCCATGGCGGTGGGCCATCGCTGGAAGTGTCCAAGTCGGAGTCCTCGGACAGAGTTGGCCTTGCATGCTTCGCCTCCTCTTCCGACTGGAAGGCATTGAATCTGCGCCGATTTGGGGGCGGGTCCGTGGGCGAAGCCGGGGAGGAGGGAGAAGGGACCGGGTCCGTGGGGAGCTGCGTGCGAACCTGACAGGGTGGTGCCTTGGATTTCGGAGGGGAGGAAGTGGCTGTGGTTGTGGTAGCCCGAGGCTTCGCGGTGTGAGTTGTGGAAGCCCGAGGCTCCGAGGGGGGTGTGTGTCCAGGTGGAAGCGGGGGCACGCCAAGGGCAAAGCGGGCCTTGGCAACACTGGAGGATGGACCCGAGGGAGGTGGGGCGTCCTGTGTAGCAATGCCAGCGCTGCCCGGGGGAGGGGGAGTCTCGGCTGGGTTATGAACTCCTCCACGTGCAAAGTGATGAAGCACCCCAATGTCGTTGGGGAATTCGAGGAATTTGTTGTTATTTCGGCGGCAGTGGCGGCAAGATAGCCATCCCGTTTTCGTAGGGTGCAAAATCAGGCCACGGGGAATGCAGCGCATGACGTCTTCAGAGGACGTCGTCGCTGATTAGTTCACCCCCGGGCAGAGCCCCCTCCTCGTCCGGGCCAGAGGCACGCCGAGCGTCCATTGCATCTGCCACAGCTTGCGGTAAGCCCTGCAGCATGGTGGTGGCCCTGCGCTCGTTTGCTCGCGGGTCTCCCTTGAAGCCTTTCTGCCATTCCCAGCATCTTGTGTAGGCCACGGTGATGTTGTCCTTGGTGACGAAGTAATGGCCGTCGTTGCCCATCTCCCCTTTCTTCTGCAAAGAGCGGCTATGCATTTCCTGCAGGAGGTAGACCGGGCCATATGTGGGAGAAATATTCCAGCCGACTGTGGGCTCCTCATGCATGTCATCGCGAAGGAATTTCCACAAGGCCTTGCAGAAGATCATGTACTCGAGGTTGGCAATCTTGGAGAAGATATCTTTGGAGACGGCGTGCGCAATGGCACGCATGAATAGAGGGTGCTTGGGCTGGCCGTAGACGATGCCCTGGAAAATATGATCCCTCTTGATTCCGATCGCCATCAGGAGAAACTCAGGAGGGAGCTTGCCCTCCTGAGCTGGACCAAGTCCCCGCTCCTGACATAGCTGTTGTTGGGCCGAGCCCCAGTCACGTGCCATGATCTCCAGCAGGTTCGCAAAGGCGATCTTGAAGCCGAATTTGATATCGATGTAGAGGCCTCCGTGGGTATAATGATAGATGTACCGAAAAATGTCAGCACGGTGAGCTGGCTGTTTGAGGTTGGAGCACAGGTGGGCTCCGTGCTCACCTGCATGCAAAGTGAGCGTGGCGAATAGAGCCTCGTCGTTGCAGAAGGCGCGCTGAAACTCGGGGAGACGTTGTCTGAAAACCTCCCTTGGCCCTGGCATGTCGTCGTGAATGTAGGCTGGAAGGCGGTTTGGGGCATAGGTCTGTCCATAGCCCCAGGCTCCAAAAACCTTCGAAGAACCCAGGGCTTGTGCGAGTGACGCGCGGCAATGGAGCCAATTTCCTGCAGGGTTTTCGCCTGGCACAGCTCGGCCGTAGCATGCATCTCCTGGTGGACCGAGTCCCCTTTGACAGACCAAGAACAGACCACCAGAATGTGGACCGAGTTGGGGCGGCTGCGCTGCATCGCTGCTCGAGCTCGACCAAGCAGCAGGCCAATGGCTTGTTCGGCAATGGCCGGCCTGAAATGGCAGTCTTTAGAGGTGTAAAGTTGGTCCACCAGACCTGGGTCGTTGCCCTGGAGACTCATGATGGTTTGATCAGATAGGTTATCTGCTGCCAGCCCATATTGATCCCTGACATCCGCCAGCCAGTCGTAGGCTCCCTGTTTGTTGGGGTTCAAAGATTGTCGGAGGGGGATCAGGCGGACGTATACATCGGAGTAGTAGTACTTTTTGAGGAGCGCGATCAGCGGAGCATGATCTGCTGGGAACGGCTCCTCGTGGCCCAGCCACGCCAGTACTTCTAGGACCGGCGGCGTTCGAACCGGCCCGTCGCGGGGCATAATGAGAGAAGCTCCCGAGCAGATGATTGCTTGATGCAGGGGGTTTCTGTCCACGGTCTCGACACCGTATGATTTCCCTGAGCCATCCATCCACAGGAGGTACTGAAGCGTGCTGTCGCTGAGGACAATGAACGGCATCGCAGCTGGCTGGTTAGCCGACATTGCTGGACAGCGGCCCGTAGGTAGGCCAAGCCTCCTCCGCTTTTGTTGGTGAGCAGAGCTCCCGATTTTTCTCAAATTTCGCAGGGGTTTGGTGCCTACAAGTGCACGGAATAGTACACAGCTCCTCATGCATGCTCCATGGAGGATTCTTGCCGAAACCTTGGATGTGGGCTGTGCAACCTGTATTGCTTTCTCAGAAAATGATAAGCCAGCGAGCATCTGTTGCTGCTCGAGCCTAACATGGCATGGATAGCTCTGCAGTGACGCAACAGAGTGCAGCAGAAAGCGCGCTTCAGGCCGACCTGGCACCTATCCTACAGCGTGTTGGCCGAGCTGGTGGGGCACTGCGCTGGATTGAAGACGGCAGTGTGATCACCAGCGTAGCCACCTCAGTGCACACAGTTTGCACAGTCCTATAAGGTGCCATCAGTGTGAAGAGAAACTCATCACGATGACTGAATGACGCTGTTTTACGTTGCAGCTAGCCTGCTGGTGCACTATGCGAGCAGCAACTGCAAGTGCCCCAAGGGCCCGCTGCAGAACAGGTGTAGGGCAGAGCCCCCGAGCCTCAAAGGCTGGTTACAGGATTCAAGCAGGAAGCTTCTCAAGTGCAGCTTCCTCCAGGCTAACCTGGCCATCCTTGTGTAGAGGGTAGCCCAGCGACCTCAGAATGTTGCGCGTGCCCAGCGGAAGCCGCTCTGCACCGTTTATATGGAAAGAACCCAAAATCAGGCGACTACCTGACTAAGGAAGAATTAATAGAATAATGCCGCTTTTGGGCATCAAATGCCAGAAAGGGGAGAGTGATAGGATGCACGTGCCCCCTGATGTTGTTCTGTACATCGAGGCAAACGTCTCCCTCCTCAGATTCCACAAAGAGCTGGCCTCCAGCGAAGACCGAAAGGGGGATCAAGACGTTCGGCACTTCTTTGTGGGGGTCCGAGTGCAGCCCCATCGCCCGGTTCCTAGCCAAAAATACCGTGGAGTGGCAATGCGCTCCACACAGTGTGTAAATCACGGCGTTGAGCAAGCGGCTGACCATGGGGTATCTCCTCGTCTGCGCGCGGAGACCAACCAGAGGGCCCTGCGAGTAAGCCCCAAAGAAGATGCTCTTGTAGTCCGACGGCTGGTCGATGCTGGGAGAGGAGTGGCGCGAGTCCTGCATTGTCGGAAGGCCATCCAGTAGCTGACCAAAAACCCCGAACGGGGCCCACTTGGAGTGCAGGCAGCTCGTAGCCAGACCTTCAGTCGGGCATAGAGTGAAGGGTTGTCCGTAATGTCCATGAGGGGAGGTAGCAGAAGCTTAATGCCAGCTTCTTGCGGGTTGGCGTAGAGCTGCAATGCTGTAGCGACTGATTCCTGGCGCTGCTTGTCCAGCTCAGACTGCCCCTTAGACGTATGTGCGGAGCTTGGCCCCGGCTCCTCATGTCGTCTTTTCTTGGTAGACCGGGTCTCCGCTTCGGATGTGACAGGCCGAGCCTCCGGCTGGGGAGTGTGGAGATCCAGGTCGATTACGGCGCATCCAGCAGGGCGAGGCCGAAGGTGCCACATGCTTCGACGCAGACAGCTTGTACTAGAGTGCCCTCTCTGGGTGAATCAAAAAGGGCTGCACAGTGAGCAAGACAGGACGGTAGACGTGCTACTACCTGCAGCCTAAGCATCACTGCAGTGTGTAGGCAGCAATTATAAGCCAGCTCCCTGATCAACCTTGGAGAGGCGTGAAAAGCGAGTAAATGGAGAAAATCAAAAACCACAGCGCAATGCAGTTGCGACTCCGGCTTCTTGTCGGCCTGCGCCATTTGCTGGTCAGATGCCTCAGAGTCCTGCGCTGATGTGGAGGCCTCGTTGCGAGCAGCGTTTAAGAGCTCCGTGGACACCTCCCGCAAAATGTCTGAAGTCGCCCGAAGGGACAGAGCCAGAGAGCGATGAGTATGTTGAGGCATCGACTGCTCCATGTCCTTGGCAAAGCTGATGGCCGCACTGAGGTTCGCCGCCGCAGACCGGATGGCGTTCTGCACTGGAGCCGAGAAGTCTGTATGAGCACCAGACGGAGGTGGCGCTTGGGCTTCCGCTGCGCTCTTGTCCGGGATCTCTGAAGGCTGCTCCTCTTGGCCAGCTCCCCAAATGCCCGGGAGACGGTCGGCGGAGACAGAGACGGGTGTTGGTGGCGCCGTCCGTGAAGTGTGGTGGGCCAAGCCCCCGACGAATTGCATATCTGTAGTCCGAGACTCCGGGAGGGGGAGGAGGGGGAGGGTTGGACGGGACAAGATAGCCATCTTGGTTGGAGTAAGCCTGCCTGCCAGGGGAAGATCTCCTGGTAGACGGTCCGGGCAAAGCGTCCGCAGGTTTTCAGCTGACATTTCAGGAAGAATCTCGCCGAAATTGCCGATCTCTCCCAACGTCCCGTGCCCTGCGTTCCTTCACTTGCAACCCGCTCTGGGACTAGGGCGCCATTGGAGTTGCCGAACTTGGAGGCCGGCGAGGTGAAGCTTGACCTCGCCATTGGCCTTCCAAAGCGAGGTAAAGTGATGGTGGGGGAGATAGCTGAGTCCTGCCACGAACCCGGAGGGAAAGGAGACGTCGGGCCGGGTGGACGAGGCCAGGTATCTCTCTCGAGCCATGTGCGAAGCTCCTTGTCCAGGTGAGTGGGCAAGGTGGATTCCTTGTCCATCTGCTTCCTCTTGGAGGGCTCGGGGCCAATGTACAGCTGCTTCAGGATAGTGCGTGCCAGCCTGTAGTAGTCGCCATATGCGGCCGGACCGGATCCGGTGATGACTCAAGCGTCGGGGGGCGATGCGTGACACCGCCATAGCCCGAGGCTCCGTAACCTAAGTGCAGAGGGTAGACCGAGTCTCCGGCGCAGCCTGCATAGTCAATCAAGACGAAGCAGGCCGGGTCGGTTCTGAGCATCACATTGTCTGCATGGATATCAGCATGTACGATGTGAGCTCGGTGTAGCATCTCCAAGGCCGCGCTGATGTCGTACTTGAGCCTGATGATTTCCATAGTGCGTAGAGCTCCTCGAGGAACCGACCAGAGCCTCGGCATCAAGGACCGTCGGCCACTCGTGGCAAAGATGGTGGTGATGACCGAGAGGGCTGGCACTCTTCGTAGCCGCGAAAGTTCTCGCTGCCATTCAACCTCGTCCTGCTGTCGTACTGTACGAATAACATAGCGGGAATCGGACTGACAGGCGTGAACCTCAGAGGAGTTGCCCTTACCAAGCACCTGGCCAGCCGTATTCCCTGCCATCAAAGTCCTCAGGACATCAGCTGGAGGAGAGTGGAGGGGGGCCCTTGGGTCGTCTGCCATGTGCTTAGCCATCTCGTCCAGAACGGCTCGAGCCTCTTTGACAGGATCCAAAACTGTCCAGGCGGCCATGGCGACTAGGCTGCTGCGGACTGGCCGGGAGAATAAATGAGCTGCCACAGTTGGGAAGTTGATCTGTCCTAAGATGCAGCACTGAAATTAAAAAAGCAGTGCATTTCCATCGTGGATTCAGTCTGTGGTATGCCTGTGCAGGCAGTGCACGCAAGCACCTGAATACAGGCAAGCCATGGCCAGAGGCCCCGAAAATGGCTCGACAGAGTCACAGAGTGCACCCTGCTCAGTCGTGGGAGTCCTTCTTCTTCCAGACATACTCGATCTTATTGAACTTGGTTCGAGGCCTCGTTGATAGCGAAGGCGACGGCTTGACCAGTTTGGGTGGTGAGCCACTGTCGCTGCGAGAGGATTTCGGCCTCGGGGGTGTAGGAGGGCGGGCTCGGCCAGATGCAAGAAGAACACTTCCCTGGACTTTAGCCTGTTCACCCGGCGACGCTTCTTCATGGGTGTGAGAGGACGAGCCGTGTCCACGGTCGCAAGCTTCCTGCCATAGTTTTGCGTAGTACTCCAGGCTATGCGAGAGCACCGGCATGGCTATGCCTGTTTTGCACTGTCTCAAACTGCGTGCCCAATCGGCTGCTGACGAGCCTGTAGAGAGAGTGCCGAGCCTAGCAAGAAAGCGTGGCAGACAGCAGCACCATTTTCGGAATCCGGCAGGAACTGTTTGTGCAAGAATCCCGCCTCCTAGAATGCTGTACAGGTCGGCCAAGCCGCCGAAACTATAGCAGAGATTGGCCCAAGGCCCCGGCGGAACTTCGGAGTTCCTGCGATCCTAGCGATCAGATGGTTTTCCACGTGCTTTGCGAACCAGGGCACCAGGGGCTCGCTTCCCGAGCCGTTCGCCTTCGCAACCGTCAAGGAGGCTGGAAATGAACTCAGACTGCCGAGCCAGGACCGTATTAAGTAAGCACTGGTCGAAAGTCCAGGATGACATGCTCTTTCTTGGCACTCAAGCGGGCGGAGCAGTATGAGACCATGTGCACCAGGCTTTCATGTAGGTCTGGGCCGAGTTCAAGCACCACCTTCTT